CCCCCACCCCGGGGGATCCCGGTTATCCTACCGGGAATGCCAGCTCGCACAGCCTCTGGATCCCCCATCACACCAACCCCCCCATGGGCCCCCCCACCCCGGGGGATCCCGGTTATCCTACCGGGAATGCCAGCTCGCACAGCCTCTGGATCCCCCATCACACCAACCCCCCCATGGGCCCCCCCACCCCGGGGGATCCCGGTTATCCTACCGGGAATGCCAGCTCGCACAACCTCTGGATCCCCCATCACACCAACCCCCCCATGGGCCCCCCCACCCCGGGGGATCCCGGTTATCCTACCGGGAATGCCAGCTCGCACAGCCTCTGGATCCAGTCGGCCGCCTCGGCGCCGTCGGCAGCCAGGAGGAAGCGCCTGTCCGTGGTCTCCAGCAGGAAGGGGACGGTGTCCTTGGGACAGGTGGCATCGCCCCCCGCCTCGGCCACGTGCACGCAGTCGCTCAGCCGGACCAGCCTCTTGCTCCCCTCGCCTTTCCGGGCCTTCTCCCCCGGCCCTGAGCCCTCCAGCAGCTCCAGGCGGGCCGTGGAGCAGGAGCTCTCCCGGTACAAGACTCCCCAGAACTTCTTCCACTTCTGCCACGGGGAGAATCTACTTCAGAGATGTAGACTCACACCCAAATGTCATAAGGACCAGCCCCAACATTCCTAAATAACAGGCACGTCTGGGTCACGGTTCAGCTGACCTCTGGTTAGTCGTAAAGTGTTCTTTTGAAATATTTTCAGACCTAAGAGCCAGAATCTGAAAGAGCCACTGCGTCTTGCAGAGGTGGGTTTGCTCGCCCTCCCGGGAGTTTTTGTTCCCTCGGGATCGCAGGGGAAGCCCTCCGGGGTCTGGGCAGGGTTTTTGCACCTCGCCCGGGACTGACCAGAGGTAAACTGGGGTTTAAATATCCCTGGATAAACATCCCTGAGGCACAGCAAGGCTTTTCCAGCTGGGAAAGGCACCAGCAGCATCCCATCCTCGCCCTCGCCCAGCATCCAGATCCACCCCTGCAGCACCCAAAAGCCCTGCCCACGCCACCCCCCTGCTGCTGAAGGGCTTCCAGCTCCTCATTCCCTCCATTTTCCCTGGAAACACCAGCTTTTAAACAGTTCCCAGCTCGCCCCCCACAGAGCAGCAATTTGGGGCTCACAGGGAATGGGATGGGAGGCCCCAGTGTCGGAGGGGAAGTGGGGACAGAGGAAGTCCTGCACCCAAACCAGCACATCCTCCACGGCAGCTCCTGCTGCGGGGCCTGCTGGGCCCCCAGGATCCGACAGAACACAGCTCCCTTTCCCTGGGATGGGATGTTGGGATCCATACAGGGGTGGCCTCTGTCCTGCTCTCCGTCCTCCAGCACTGCAGGCACCGTGTGCTCCTGCCTTGCCCCAGGGAGGGGATGCCCTGCCCGCCCTGCCTGCACCCTGCCCGCCTTCCTGGCCCTTCCCATGGCATTTGGATTCCCTTTGGAGGGTGTCCACGGGAAACAAGACCAGGGAACAGAGCTGGAGACGCCCACGAGCTCCTTCCCCTTTGGGAGTTGTTGCCAAACCCCAAGTTTATCAGGCACGGAAGCAGAGAGGCTTTGGGGGTTGCATCAGTCACCCAATGCGGGCCTGGGGGTCACACCCATCACCCCCTCTGGCTTTGGGGTCACATCAGCCACCCTGTGTGGGTCTGGGGGTCACATCCATCCCCAAACACAGGTTTGGGGGTCACATCTGTCACCCAACACAAGACTCGGGGTCTAATCCATCACCTAATGTGAGTCTGGGGGTCACATCCGTCACCCCCTGGCTTTGGGGGTCACATCAGTCACCCTGTGTGGGTCTGGGGGTCACATCCATCCTCAAACACAGGTTTGGGGGTCACATCTGTCACCCAACACGAGACTCGGGGTCACATCCATCACCTAATGTGGGTCTGGGGGTCACACCCATCACCCCCTGGCTTTGGGGGTCACATCAGTCACCCTGTGTGGGTCTGGGGGTCACATCCATCCCCAAACACAGGTTTGGGGGTCACATCTGTCACCCAACACGAGACTCGGGGTCACATCCATCACCTAATGTGGGTCTGGGGGTCACATCCGTCACCCCCTGGCTTTGGGGGTCACATCAGTCACCCTGTGCAGGTCTGGGGGCCACACCCATCACCCAACACAGGTTTGGGGTCACATCCCTCACCCCCCAGCTCTGGGGGTCACATCCCTCACCCCAGCTCACCCCAACCACCCCCTGGCCCTACAAAGTGTCCCCAGCACCTTCCGTCCCCCTGCCCGTCCCCACGGGGAGCTCACGGATGGCCGAGGAGCCAAAGGCTGGGAGCACCCAAATCCCTTTGGATCCCACCCCGTGTCCCACCCCTCCGAGCCCCCCCGTGCCCCCCACACCCCCTCACCTTGCCGAAGGTCTGCTGGAGCTGGAGGTAGATCCCCCCCTGCTTCACCACCGCCTCCTCCATCCTCCCACCTCCGGCATCCTCCGGCATGTCCCACCGTGTCCTGCCGTGTCCCACCGTGTCCTGCCGTGTCCCACCGTGTCCCTCAGTGTCCCACAGCTCCGGGGGGTCCCGTCCAGGCCGTGTTCCCCCCTCCCCTCTCTCTGTCGTGTGGGGGCCGGGCGGGCTCAGCACGTGACGTGTGGTTTGGGTTCTGCCGCTTCCTCTGCTCGCGACGGTTTCCTGCGGCCCCGAGAGCCCCACGAGGGACTGGGGGGACAGGGATGGGGGACAGGGCTGAGGGACAGGGCTGGGGGACACATGGACAGGGATGGGGGACAGGGCTGGGGGGACAGGGCTGGGGACAGGGCTGGGGACAGGGCTGGGGACAGGGATGGAGGACAGGGCTGGGGACAGGGATGGGGGACACATGGACAGGGCACATCTGGACACACCCGTGTCCCACCCCCTGGCACCGGTGCAGGACACTGGGAATTCCCACCATGGCCCTCCCTTGGTTTTCCCGCCTGGAAAAGGGTCCAGAGGGTGTCCCAGGGGTGTCCCAGTGGTCCCAGTGCCCTGCACCCAGTTCCTCCCACCAGTGGCCTCCAGTTAGCCCAGCCCGGCACCAGCATCCCAAGTTACTCCAGCGCCTGCACACCAGTGCTCCCAGTTAACCCAGCCAGGGACAAGTGCCCAGTGGGCAGAGATGGGGGGCAGGGATGGAGCTGGGGTAACTGGGAGCACTGGGAGCACTGGTGTGC